ACATTTTCATCTGTATTTGATCTACTATTCAAATTATTTTTGATCTGTTTCAAGTCTAAATAACTTTTTAGTAAAATAATTGAGCACTACTCCTGTAAGAAGTAAATCAATTGAAAATCATTTACCCATCGGAGGTGGGTCCCGGGAGCCATAAGGGCGTAGCAAAAAAATTTTTTTTGGGAATCGACGTACTTTTGTATGAAACGTGCAGAAATGCAAAAAAAAATTTTTCTCCTAACTAAAAATTTTTTTGGACTTAGAAAAAAAGAACGGAATTTTTATTATACGCCGTTATGGTATCCGAGGTGAATCCCGGGAGCCATAAGGGCGTATAAAAAAAATTTTTTTCGGGAATCGATGTATTTTCGTCCGAAATGTGCAGAAATGCAAAAAAAAAATTTATACGCCCTTATGGTTCCCGAGTGCCATAAGGGCGTATAATTTTTATATGCACAGAGAGAAATGGATGGTAGATACCACTATACCAGTCTGGGCGAGAACGCCATACAGTATGGTATCGAAGATTTTTGTCCATTATTAAACTGTACACATAGATGATTCGACCATGCGGGAATGGTAACATTGGCGATAGTTATTGCGGATGCCGCAATGCTAGGATGGCCGTCAGGCCCATACTGACTTGCCGTATGTACAATTCTTCTGGCAGGTAGACCTAGCCAATATTGTGATTTTAGCTACAACATTATTGGAGTAACAACAATGTTTATTTAATTATAAATGTAGGTTATGTCCGAAATATATTATATAAATGAAAAATGATATTAATTATTTCATGACATGATTGTTTTTTTTTTTTTATTTTTACTCTGATATGAATTGATTTTAGTGAAGAAAAATAACAACAACAATCAATTAAAAAATTACAAGAATTTATGTCTGTCTTATTAAAAATATGAGAGATTATTTAAAAAAAATTTATTCTAATTAAAAAAATAAAATGTTCTCAAAAAACCAATTATCTTAAAATTTATAGTTAAAAAATTATATTTATTAATTTATTAGAGTCGATTTGTTTTAATTAATTAAAATAAAATTTCAAGTGTCAATAACTAGGCCAGTGTCAATAACTGGGTCTTTTACCTTATATACACTGATAGAAGGATTTATTAACTATTAATAATTTAATTTATTTAAAGACAATTATTTAATTTATTAAATTTTAATGAATGTTTTTTAACATTTAATAAATATTTATTTGGGAGGAAAGTACATTGATGAATAGTTAATAATTATTTATTTATTAGTTAACAAATATTTATTAACAGTTGATAAATATTTTTTTGAGTAAATTTGTTTCCCTTGTAATGTCATATGATATGAAGATTGTTTATAAACAAAAATCATCTTTATAAATTATTTGCATTAATTATATTACATTATATTAAAGTTTATTATAAAATACTAAATTCAGTAAATTCTATCACAGCTAATAATTATATTTTATATTTTTAAATATTGAAATCGTTAATTTATTTAGTGAATTGAATTATTATCATGTATTTTAGCTATAGAATCATAAGAAGTGTCAACAGAAAATTACTATTTTTGTTTTTTATTTTAAATAAATATTTGTTAACAGTTAACAAATATTCATTAACCATTAATAAATATTTATTAACTGTTAATAAATATTCGTTAACTCTTAACAAATATTAATTAACATTTAATAAATCGTATTTAATAAATAATTTTTTAATTTTTAATAAATATTTATTAAATCCTATGATGTTAAAAAATCATTTATTAACAGTTAATAAAGCTTATTAAATAAAAACAAATCTTTCCGTCAGTGCTGTTTTGGTGGTAACACAAGAGTTTAATTGCTTAACACGCCAAAAATTATAGCGGGAACCGCTAGTATCCTTGCGTCAGCAGCAATGTAGTATGGGTCTCAGGACCATACTGTCTTGCCAAGCCTACTATGCATACGTATAAAAAATACAATAGCACCATTACTATACTACATAGTAAATAACGCCATACTTATGGGATTCGTTACAATACTGAATTGCAATATTACACATACTATTTTAGTATCGGTCTGGAGACCATACTGACATTGTGTTAAACGCCATCCATTTCTCTCCGTGTGCCCTTATGGCATCTACTGTAACGCGATGTGATCCGAGGCTTTCTTATTTACTTCCCGTGGAGTGTATACTATTTTTTTGCTCGACGAAGGCAGAAAGGGGCAACTTCGTTTAGCGCAGCGGGCCAAAAGTTGATGCTTTCTGCCCGTCGAGCAAATAGTATATTACACACCGAGGGAAGTAAATAAGAAAGCCTCAGATCACATGTTTGACAATTACATGTGATCTGAGACATTTCTTACTTTACTTCCCTAGGTGTGTAATATACTATTTTATTAACAAGTCATTTATTAAATTTTTCTATCAGTGTTCGAAGCTTCGGGCCAAGTATCAAACCGGGTTTGAGTCCGTAGTGATTTTCCAAGGCTGGGCCATTTGTCAGCATTTGCGAAGCCTACCTGGGTATAATTCATAAAACTATTTTTAGTAATTAATGTTTCAATTTGCTATTGAATTTACACTTTTAACGTCCGATACTTCCAACTTTTATTTTAAAGCCCAATACGTTCGACTCACGATTAAAATTTTAATTTTTCAATTCTAGTCTAGTACATTGTATAATAGTAAAAATACGATGTTAATAAAATAAGCGGAAAAATTTCCCAAAAGTTGCATAATAAGGATGAATGTAATAGTTCGGTATCTATGAAGTCTATTGTCAAGAGTATCAGAAATGCATAAATAAATCAATTGTCAATTGACTTAATTACATTTAAATATAAAAAAAAAGGATAACTCGGAGGGATAATCTAATTAATTCAATAAAAAACAATAGAATTTATTGATGATATCTTATTTGTAGTACAATCTAACATGAAATGTTCGTTTTAATTTGTATAAATGATTGCTGGTGATGATGCTATATATACCATTCGACTGCATAAATTTTTTTATAATTCAATTTTCTGGTAAATTTTTTATAGAGTTCATCAGTACACCTTTTACCTAAAAAGTTTTACTTAAACATGTTTAACAAAAAAATAATCGAAGGCATATTTATTGCAATCATACTTCAACTCATTGGAATACAGGTATTTCGAAAATTGTTAATTTGGTTGAATGTTACATCATTTTCTATTTATTTTTGTTCTTTCACGATTCGCTTTATTTGATTTCATTATTATTATTTCATAATTAAATGAGCATTATAAGTTGTGCACTTTTGGATTTTCCAAATTTTATTTCTAAATAATCCCTTTTTGACATAACTTTTTAATTTTTAAATCCTTCGACTTGAACAATTTTGTATTTAGGAAATTCTATCAAATTCGCCTAACAAATCAAAATCAAACAACGTATTCAAAAGTTATAGCCATTTAAACATCTTGGACCTCAAAAATTCAAATTGAATATATATATTCCAGCTTTGCACTCGAAATAATCCAGGTTAAGGAATACCTTCCAGATTCAACCGATTTCCAGATTTTTTTCTAACAAACAAATTGTATTGTTGATTTTCTAGGGGGAGTTTGGTGTGATTATGAGAGATTCACTTTGTCCAGTTTATGATGCGGAATATATGACAGAACCTGATACTTACGTTGATGACAATAATGGATTATTTTTTAATTTTTCGATAATAAAAACGGTCCCATCAACAATAGAAGTAATAAATTTTTATATAATGTAGTAAACTTTGAAAAATTTGAAAAAAGTACATGTTAAATTTTTTTTTATAAATTCAACGAAAACTTTTTGACTCATTGCTTCAATAAGCCAGTCAGTGAAAAAAAATTTTCATAAAAATATTTCACTTCTCAAGAGTATTTAAAGTTTTAGATCAATAAATACGTGTGCCTGAAATTAAAAAGCATAACAGACTTGCTATTTCCAGGGTTATTTAGCAATCATAGGAGCGTCAATGGGTGAATATGTAGTAGACATCGGAATCAATTTAATAATGCCCTTCTGTGAAATGTTGGATGAACCTCTTTTCATGAGCCCTCTTCTTCAAATGTTTGGATTTAATAAAGATAATTGTCCCCCAAAACCTGTAAGATTTTAGATCCATTTTATTTATTGATATTATTCATATAATGGTGTAAAATAACGTTTTGAATAGACTGTTTTTTTTTTTTCGTTATTTTTAAAATATGGCTAAATTAGTTTTTAAAGGTTGCGCAAGTTAGATCTTACTATAATCATTGATTTCTATTTGAATATGTTTAGGGCGTTTATGGCAGCGAAAGTTACACCGTACCAACATCCATGTTTCCAGAAAATTTTCCTCCAAATCAATATAAAATAGCCTTCGAAATTATGAACGAGGGTAAACAAATACTGGTTATCGATGTATATTTTGACATCCAATAAAGTTTAGCAAAACTTCATTATACAATTCCAAAATGATTCATATGAACAATGATGTAACGCAAGCGTAAAAAATAATCGATTCGTCAACAATTTTACAACGGAAATATAGCTTGTCGAATAAATGTATAATTTGATAAATAGAATTATATTTGACATTAAATATTGTCGTTAAATTTTTTCTTGTATTGCAATTTTATTTTATTTGTTAATAGTTGCTGATGTTTACGGATCACACACACACACACACACACACACACACACACACACACACACACACACACACACACACACACACACACACACACACACACACACACACACACACACACACACACACACACACACACACACACACACGCACGCACGCACGCACGCACGCACGCACGCACACATACAGACATAGCTTGACTGGTCTCTTGGGGTTCTGGTCGCTTGATATTTCCCAGAATATCGCATGATGGTCGCTGGCAGTAGAGATGTCCAACACTTTCCAGTTGCAGTCGCCTCTGGCAAGGCTATTACCGGCAAAAGTGAGGTCTACAATTGAGCTTGCCTCACCTTTGGTGCAGGTCGGCGTATCACCATTGTTGAGCGGAACTACATCTAGTGTAGTAAAGGCCTCCAGTAGTGCTTTCCCTCTTGCGTTTGTATGTTTGCTACCCCAGTCAACTGCCCAGGAGTTGAAGTCTCCGCCTATCGCTACTGGATGATATTGCTTCACATCTTCGGTTAGTCGATCCAGAAAATCAATGAAGTCAGCAATGGAGAGGCTAGGTGGTGCGTAACAACTATAAAAGCGGATGCCTTCTACTGATACTGCTACAAAGCCAGCATTGCTGTTGTCGACTGCATTTTGAAAAGAAAGCTTGCCACAGGACCAAATGACAGCTTTAAATGTGCTGTCAGATTCCCAGGGTTGAGTACTCAGGTGTTTATATGGTTCTGCTATCAGTACCAAGTCAAGCTCTAGTTCTCGCACGGATTGCATGAGCAGGACATGCGCTGCCTCACAATGGTTGAGATTGAGCTACAGTATCCTCATGCTTGCTTGTTCGTCAACTTCTGGAGTGCATTCTAAAATACCGGGCACTTATGGGTACCGGCATGCTGGGCAACATTCTCTGCACTTTCAATCTCAGCACATAATGCACATTTGGCTGGATTTTCGCAATCAGCAATCTTGTGCCCTTCTTGTCCGCACCTGATGCAAAGCCTAGACCAATCGACTTTACTTTTGCACTGGGATCCGAAGTGCCCAAAGTACTAGCATTTGAAACATTGGACAGGTCTCTTCGTTGCTCTTATTCGACAATTGGCCCAACCAATTCTCACTTTGCTATTTCCTTCTAGTAGCTTCTGTGCAGTTGTCACTG